CATTCATGGAGAAACGTTGAAGCTAACCTAAAGTTTGACATGCGAAAAACACAATCCCTTGTTGCCTCTGAATAATCTGGTGAGTCAACATGCAGTAATCATGAGTTCTGCTAGGGGGACCTGTTGCTCTATTTTCATTCTCAGTATAGAGCATATGTATTGTCTCTACTAGACCACATGTACATGTATGAAGAAAGCAGCAATACATGAATTCCCAAATGTAGATAAGAACATATACCCTTTAAAGTTTAATGCAGCTATAAACATTAGGTTTGCTATGCTGGAGCTGTAATTTCCATGCAATATCAAGTTCATCGTGGCAAGCCCAGAAGATTGTATTTTGTCTTGCCATCTGCTATTGATACCACCAGTAGGCTCAGTACCAGATGTTGCAGTTGAACCATTTTATACAGACTATCATTTCTGTGGAATTTTTTATTTCAATTAAAACACGGTTCGGTATTAACCTTCCTATATGCATAATAGTATGATAATAATAATACCACTTTAATTTTTTCAAACATGATATGACTTCACTCATTATGAAATTGCAGACAAGAAATGTAGGCAGTAATAAAGTTAGGGAATCTATGTCACTTGTAATTTATAATGGTAAACTTGTCTTGCCAACAACAATTACTAATGTTGATCTAAGAAACCAATCAGTCAAAGGTGATTTCTCAGGTTCACACCTTGACCTAAGTTCCATTGTGTCCATCCATTCATATGATAATGAATTGTCTGACATCTGCATGTCTAAACTCTAGTTCACCCACCACTACCATTATTGAGTTAGCAGACTAAGTCGTAACCTGACCCTTTGACCCCCATAGCCCCTGCCATCTTGGTACAGTCCATGCCGCTCCCTGAGGGAATGACAATTAAACCCTGTACAGCATTTGGACTGGCTCAAATAAAACGTCACAGACAGAAGGCAGAGAAATTGTGATCAGGCCAGGAGTTGTATGAAGAAGTGCCCCTTCTGTACCAGGCCTGTAGAGGGAGTTACAGCATGGAGGGGAGAGATTTTCAAGTCCGATATGTCAAAGTAGACAAAGCAGGAAGTGAGGAGCATTTAGACTGGGGTGAGTCCATGTTGTCTTGTTGGTACTTGGGGTGTGTTTCGTACAGTACATACAGCTTGGGGAGGGGGGCAGGTTCATTGAAGTGTCAGGAGTATGGAGTAGTATGAGGCACTCATTGTAAATCAATACTACAGTGGCCAAGGAGACTAACCATGTGCCCAGCTATTAAAAAAAGCTTGCTATTCTACAGCCCTTATGTAAATATGGCTAAAAAGCAGTGATCTGGGTTGGGCAGACCCCTATAGACCATGTGGGCTAAAATGGAATGTGTACAAACATAATGTCAGACTGTCAGAGAAAAGATCATATGATTTCGGGTCTAAGATTCAGACTTCTACCAAAGTGTGGACATGTAGTAATGTCTATGATTTAAGCAATATCCCAATAACTGCTTTTATATGCCCTGACAAGTACGATGTATTATACTACATGGTTGATATGATATGAATGACTGTTCAACCAAGACTCAGACGTAACCATTTGTGTCAGAGTGTGACCCTGCAATCGTTTGTTATGTTTGGGTCATGGTAAGTACCAGTATTGATTGGAAGAGCAGGCAAAGCCTATTTAATATTGGTCGCACAGGGCACTCATGGATCAATGATCCCATTTCTTCTTGTACGGAACTTAATCACAAGTCACATAATCTCTGAACAGTGATACATTTCAGAGGAATATGTAACTTATCAACAGGCAACCAAATTCTAGCACAAGAACTATTTGGGGAAGGGGTAGCAAAAATACACTTGTCACCAAGTACAGTAGGGGCATTGTCACTAGATAGCTTTAAATAAAATTGTCTAGAGTTAGATGTTCAAGGGTTAGGTGTAACTAGTCGATCAGTGTAATGTAGCCATCTGCCGCCGCGCCGTGTGCCTGCGAAGCTGGTGTGTTACGCCGAAGGGTAGTTATACCAGTTATACAGATACAGATACATAAAGCTTTGATACCTTAAAGGTTTGTACAGAAACCAATTTGAATAGAGACCTAGAGCCACAGGAAGCTTGTACTTGTAATTCATGAGGAAATTTGTATTGTGTATAGGATTTACTCTATAACCTAGTTATTTTTCTATACATAAAAATGCTGCCTTGAACTACATATTAGTCTGTCTTCACAGTTTTGAAAGATATCCTTTGTTCTTTCAATTTTGGTCACAAGCTGGGATACCCTAGTTGACCCCAACAAGTACTTGTTTATTGACGTTCACACTTAGCTAGTTAGTCATGAATTCGTTAAATATTTACAAGAGTGCTTACAACACAAGCACACTGTAATCTCCCAGAGTAGTCAACCTCATCTGTCCATATCTTTTGGTAAAATCCTATTGATCATTTAATCTCGAAATGTATTTTATACAAATAGGATAAACAATAAATAATAGTACTACGCATGGGTCAAAGATCAAGAGGATATGATGTGTGGCTAGATTTGATTGTAAAAATATAACATTCAGACTCTGTTTTATGTAGACAAGTCTGTAAATACTTGTTCATCTCACTTCCTTTTCAAGTTTTTTTTTTTTTTTCACAAGGCAGAGGGCAAGTGTTGGCATATATAGATGTGTAGAATTTGTACACCCCAAGTCAAGACATGCCACGTGATGGATAGTTTCATGTTTACAGTCAATATAACTGTGACATTTGACAACCTTTCAATCACAATACACCTGGTCTTGAGGAACTGATGGTGTAGGAAATATATATAAATTGTTTATTCACAAATGGATTTAAGAAAACTACATTGCAGCCTAATGATACAAAGAAAAAAGGCTGAATTACGCAGCTTCAATATTTACAAACATAACCAAACTGAATAACAGTGGTCGAGTGATTACACAATAGACAGAACACTGTTCAGTAGAAATATAATACTGGGCAGGTCTTTAGTTTTTCATACTCATAGGTACAGGCTTACAGCCAAGTTTACAGTATATTATTTCTTTTCTCTCTTCATTTGTTTTTATGTACAGTAGTCTTGTTAAAATACTGAGACATTGTGTTGACATGTTTATCTGAGTGTTATCTTCATGACTGATTGTCCCTGTTCCTAATTACTGTGACATATGTGTAACAGCTGAGTGTATTATCAATAGCATATGTTAGCTTTTATCATAATTGTATTATTTGCAATTGGTGATTTATTGTTGAAATATTTGCGGTGAGAAATACCATAAAAGTACTAACACTAACAGATTCTGAAGTAGGCCTGAATATTCAGTGGTCATCGGCTAGAGCTGTGCACCAATACCAGTACCGATACTGTACTGGAAAAATTGATTAGGTGCAGGTCCAAAATACCTAATCCCTCAGTACCCATACCTAAACACTTTCACACCAATTTTATGCCTCAAATGTGTAAATAGCTGGTCCCCCATGGGTCCCAGTGTAAGAACAGTGTGTTAATGAAAACAAAAACATCTTAGTTTTACCCATAGTTTGTCTATGCATTCTCCATGAAGAAAAACTAAACCCTAACTGTCAAGTTTATTAACGTTTTTCTTGTTATTGAAGGAGCATGGTAATTGGTCGAATTGTTTAGGTACAGGTTCAGGTTCGGACCTGTACCTAAACCTGTGTACCTGTACCTCAAATGTGTTTAGGTACACAGCTCTAGTCATCGCTGTAATAAGGTTGCCATAGGTTCATCTCTTTCACTATTCCTCTGCTTTGCTGACCTGCAGTAGTTGTAATGATCATGTTCGCACCATCTTATCTGATGAGAACTCATGTGATGTGTGCATGTTCAGATTGATATATTGAATCACTCTTCTTCCTGCTCTTTCAAATGTGTGTTGTACCAATAATGGCACCCATAATATGCAGTTCAAAAGGTCATGACCTCTCTATTGCACCCTGTACTTTACTGTGGGAACCAGTCTCTTGGTGGAAATAACCTAGTTAACTGACAGTGTAATCTACTTTTCTGTGACATATTTCATGGAACAAATGAGTGGGGTTATTTCTTTGGCATCCTGTAGAAAACGTGTAGGAACTACAGTCAAATCTGTGGGGTTTTTTAATGACCCAAAGAAAGCTATTAAGTCAAAACCATAGATAAAACATTACCAAATGGATTTATTATAAAACAGTAAGCAAATAATTCCTTGAAACATTCTAACCCTTGAAGAAAATGTATTTGAATTCAATTAGATGGGAGAATTTGTAAATATCTTCCGTCTTTTGAGAAACTTTTTACATGCAACTGTACCTTGAAATTTGCAATTTGTACCCCGGAAATTGATAGCCTGGGTGCCATCCGATTTGTAACGGCAACCCCAAAGCCATTACAAATCAGATGGCACCCAGGCTAAGAAATTGAGTCAGGGCTCGAAATTAACATTGTCCCAGTGTCAAATGACACTAAATTTTCAGCTCGGGACAATTCAAATTACATTTCGGGACAATTTCGGGGCAATTGGAAAATTCTGAGACCGTCCACGTCATTTAGGAACGCGATCTACAAATCATGCTGCAGACTGCCGGCAGCCCATAATACTCTGACAAACATTTAAATTTGACCAATCAGGGATTCCAAATATTGGGGAGGGGGGGCCTGCCATGATATTATCATGTATTTCCCTACATTTACTAATAAAGTGGACTTCAAGTTGTACAAAGTCAGTTGTTGATGTTTTCTTATTTCTAGTCATAAACTTATTTCCTGAAAAGCAGGCTGGGCCAGTCTATCTTCAGTTCGGGACAATTGAAATAAACATTCGGGACAATTCTGGGACAGTAGTAAAAAAAGTTAATTTCGAGGCCTGTTGAGTGTTACCAAATTTTGATTATAGTCTGTTTTTTGTGACATGACTGGTTCCCATGGTATTACCTTTCTCATTCTTGCTAACCTCCATGTTGCTCTGCTCTGCTCTCTCCTCTCCCCTCCCCGTTTACTCACCATGGTAACCAGTAGATGGTGTAGAAGAGGAGGATGAGACAGGGGAGACCATCTCCCCCACATCTCCTACGTCTCCTCTTACTAACTCACACAATAAGGACAAGGAACCAGGAGTCGCAGACAGTAATGAATTATTACTCCAACCTACCAAAGGTAGCTGTGTATCGTGTTAGATGCATGCTGGTATTGCATGGATGGAACAGAGTTTAGAGTTAAAACCTTTGGTCCAACACAAAGAAAGTTCTCTCACCTAGAGTTTTCGGCCAGTCACTCTGGTCTTCCTCAGTAGACTGACCCAGTGAGGCTTGTCACGTGGCTTCTTCGAAATGTGACATCAACATTGGGTCAAAGGTATCTACTGAGGAAGACCAGAGTGACTGGTCGAAGCTCTAGGTGAGAGAACTTTCTTCGTGTTGGATCAAAAGTTTTAACTCTAATTTAAAAAGTCTAAACATGTAACTACCAACGTAACACAGATGAACTTTCATGATAGTAATCATTGACTTATATATCTTAACTTCAATCTTGGATTCATTTAGATGCAAGGCTAGGAGGTACAATTTGTAACTAAGATACAAATTACAAGAAGATCACTAACAATAAGTAACATGTAGACCTTTGGTTGTAAATTTTGCTGGTTGATTTGTCGTAAAATGAAAAAAAAAAAACAGTTACATTTTGTATTGGTATCAGAGATACCTGTACTATCTCATATCTGTATGGGCAAAATACCAACAATGGCATTCACTTTTTTAAATTATTTATTGGAAACACAATTAAAAAATGTAACATCAATTATTATACAAAATCAATATACTGTATTATGATATCGTACAATTTGCATGGTTATGTTTTAAAAGACAACAACACTGATAGCACCAATTGCTTTTGTCACAAACTGTTTGACAACTAGACATAATAGACATAAACAATGATATCCTATCCCAAGGCAATTATATATGTTTTGACATATTTTCCATTCAACATGTCTCATGTCAACTGTTTACTGTACACTGAAAACTCACTTCTGCTGTTTGTTACCATTGCATGCAGTGTTAGAAATACCCACCTGCAGTCTGCATTTTCAATATTTCAGAAGAAAAATTATGTATTATATCAAGCAACCTGCAATTTTGCAGACTGAAAAAATCAAGCTTCATGTAGGGTTCAATAGTGTTAGCATTTTATTATTTGAGAGCTTTTGTGTTTACTTAACTGACACTATAAAACACCAATAATATTTTTCAAATTGCAAACATGTAGTTTTGTATGTGCCATAGTTTTAGGTCTGGACTTATATTTGCAGAAAGTATTTCCGAATTATAGAACAAAATTTTGACATTCTGCAATATTGCAGAGCACTAAAAAGTATTTCTACCTGACTGTGCATGGTGCAGCTTTAGTTATTTAGCTCTAAAATAATTCGGTTTTCAGTAAATAATATTTTCAGCAGACCAATCAAGGCAGAATTGGCATGTCAACCTTTTCTCCAAACGGGGTCAGTGAACCTGGTTATTTATAATTACCCCTCCAAGGCTGTAGACGTGGTCGGTATACTGTAATTCACTTTATGTTCACGGTAGCAAAAGTTCACAGTCTGAGAAAAATGGAGGTGTTCACAGAACTATGTATTCACAGTGGCAATAGGTGCAGAAAAAAGAAAGCCCAGGAATTATTTGTTAACTGTAATGATAAGTTCACAGTACAGAAGTGACAGTGAAAACAGTGAACATAACAGTACAGTAAAAAAAAAACAGGTATTACAGTAATTACTTGTCATACCAGTTTGTACTGTCCTGCACAGACATCCATGTTTTTCTGGCTGTGCACAAATGTCACAAAATGGACAAACAGGGAAACCGTTTTACCACAACTTCTGCAAACAATCAGCTGTTCGTCAGTGTGCCTAGTCCTACTAGGGGAAAGAAGCGTGAGCATTTTGCTTTACTGACTCTTTGTGAATGTCAATGACTAGGAGAAATGTCACAAGGCAGATTTATGTTGGTTACCTGTCTAGTGTACAATTGTCCTAATACTAATAGTGTAAAACCTGTAACAGCTTCTTAATAAGTACGCTGTTTCTCAAATTTCTCATTTTTGTACCCACAGGAAATGGCCCATCCAAACATAATGAAGCCAGTCCCTTCATAGATTTAGAGAAAGATGATCCGGAGACAAATCTAGCTTTGTATGAGGTAAGTCACATGTACACTGGACTTATTATGTTTGTTCTAGGAGTATGTTTGTGATAGATAAATCAGGGCTCAAAATTCAGTTTTGGGAAAAGGTGCACTGGTGCGCCCAGCCTAAAAAATTAGGTGCACAAATTTTTTTTGGGTGTACCATATAAAACAAAATCTTAGACCCTGTTCATACCAGACTTACATTTAGCGGTTTCAATTGGTTTTTCAAAAACCCGGCTAAAACCCTTAGCGTTCATACCAGACTTTTGATAACCGGTTTTGAAAAAATCCTGTCCGGTGAATATCCAATTAATCGGCCATGACTGCAGTTTGAATAACCGTTCCTCCCGCTCTTCTGATTGTTGTCCTTGGCCTTCTTACTTGTATGCCGTCTTCAGTTTTTTTTACCTTACTGCGGCACTGATCCTTTATCTTCAAGAAATCAGCCTCCTCCAACATTTTTGTTTCGGTAGAGCCCTCGCCGCCCCCCCCCCCAGCTTTTTCGAATTCGGCGACTCCTGCTCTCCAAACCTAAGTATCAGGAGCGTCTCGTCCGCAGACCAGGTTGCTTATGCTGATTCCATCGCTGATTCCACCGGAAAAACAGTGGAAACGAACTCAAGTTGGTCAAAACAACGCGATCAAAAAGCTTGCAGGTCGCACACGGTCAGGATGCTGACCCCGTGACCCCGGAATTATGACGCAAAAACCGGTTCAATAAACCCTTAGCGTTCAGACCAGGTTTTTCGGTGGAAAACCCCCACAAAAACCCCTCAAAAACCACCTCCCGAGGTGGTTTTTCAAAATCGGATTTAAACCCCTAAAAAACCGGTTAATTTGCGTTCACACCAGGTTAAATAAAAACCGGTTTTTGAAAAACCGGTTGAAACCGCTAAATATAAGTCTGGTATGAACAGGGTCTTAAATTCAGATCTTACTGCCCCTCGTCTTAATTAGCTTGAATCTGAAATAGGAGCTAACTTCAAAATCTTAAACAAGTACTAAAACAAAGATTTTATTATTTTTCTGACACTTAGATGCCAAGAATATCCTGTATACATTTAACATGTACAAAAATGGCTATAAAAATACTTGGGTGCACCAGTGCACTCACACTCACAGAATAAAGTGGGTGCACAGCTCCAATTTTGGGTGCACTAAGGTGCACATGCACCCAGTATTTCAAGCCCTGTAAATCTGTTATTTATGCTTGCCTTACATACAACAGTAATGTTAGTATGTGATGTGATAATGGTGTGTGCTTGTACATGTACCTTTAGGATGAGATCCACAGACGACCGGTGGTGTCCACCATACTACAGGGGCTGGTCAGCTACAACCCTGTCCAACCAGGGGAGAAGGAACATCAGCAAGGGGAGGGCAAACAAGTTCCACGGGTTAGTCACACTCTCAAGATTTGGTTTGATTTGAATAAAAAATATGCTACTTTGTTTACTTCGTATTATAATACTCAGTCTAGTAAGCTATCTGTCAGTGTGCATATATGTTTCTTGATTGGGATTTTGCATCCTATTTTGTGTCAGATTCATTCAAGCATACTACTATTAGTACTGCATGTAGATGTGCTCAGTGAATCGGTTCAGTTGTTCCCAGTAAAACTTTTAAGACAACATTAAACATAACATTGAAAGAACAGATATCAGTAAAAAAAAAACATACAATGTAGACCAAGATATCATACAACTTTTCTATAGTTTGTGAATTACATTATACTGTACCTGTACTTATCAAATCTAAATAATGTTCAAACAAATTGTATTAACAGACACTATTAAATGCTTACAACGTATGTTCATGCATACACCATTCCCCTATTGAAACATGGTGTGTGAATGTTTATTGCAGAAAAACCAGCTGGGTACGTTGATAGGAGTGTACCTGCCATGTCTACAGAACATCCTGGGAGTGCTGCTGTTTGTTCGTCTGTCCTGGATCGTGGGCATGGCAGGAGTACTGGAGGCTTTCATCATCGTCTTCATGTGTTGTTGCACAGTAAGTTATGATAGAACCATAAGGCCACACCAATTTAATTTCTTGGTTAACGGATTTTTCTAGAAAAATAATGGAGCGGGCGGGCGAAAAAAAAAAAAAACAGGCTTAGGCATCATATTATGGCCCAAAATGGTACGGTAGGAGCCATGAGGTCAACACACCAGGCTGGTTCAAAATTTAAACAATGAATTTTGAACTTTTAATGATACCATTGCATTAAAAGATTGAATAACTGTAACAACTAGGATGAAAAGGTCTGTGTTCAACTGTTCAGGGCAAAATATGAGCATTTTGCAGTTGATTCTGGATTTTTATTTTATTTGCATATCTGAAAAAAAATGAAGCGGCGAATCCGTTAACCAAGAAATTAAATTGGTGTGGCCTAAAGGTGTGATTCAAAGCTTTAAAAGAAGGGGAAAATATGTTATTATTTATGTTTATGGAAGGAAAACATGTTGTTCTTGCTCCGTTTCTTCTCCTTCTACAAACCAATAAGGTCAATGACCTGAACCAGATGTCTGTCGCCATGGTAACTAGTGTTGGGCTTCATCATGTTGCAATTTTATAGCAGGAGGGATTTAGACTCCTGCCTGACCATATATATGAATGTGTTTGACCTAGAATTAACAGAGCAGACCATATGCGAAGGTAAACATTATGCATTTGCTTTGCAATTGTTACCTTTCCAGTCTACATATTATGTTTTGTTTTGTCTCTTTGCCATAACTTGATCATCTAGGGATTGAGGTGAAAAAACCTGGTTTTGTTGTATTTTTAATCTTACCATATGCCTCTCTTTACAGACCATGCTGACAGCCATATCCATGAGTGCTATTGCTACAAATGGCATCGTGCCAGGTAAGGCTCCATCTTGTCAACACTTGATGAAGAAAAATGGCTAATGCCATGGCCTCATGTGCAGATCATGTATCATACTCTCCAGTTATGGATCTTTGAGATCGATGATTCTGAGAACTGCCAGAAATCAGAGAAGTCAATGACCTAGATTTTGTCAGGGAGTGAATCAGTCTTCAAAATTAAAGGCATCCAGTGCGATTCCAGGGCAGAAAACTACAGTAAATCTGAATAAGGCAATCTTTGTGATATTGACACATACTGCTTCACATTAGCACATTTGAGCCAGCATTTTATAGTTTGGGCATTTGAAACTGCAGAAACAAACCCCAAGATGAGTCCTTTATTTTCTGGGTGGTACCCTAAATTCTGCCCTGGGTCCTTCCAGTAACCATTTTTCATCAAAAGTTTGGACATTTTTGCTCCTTGAGGGTCAATATACATTGGGACAGAGTGGTTTCAACTCACTATGTAGATGAATGACTAGAATATTGGCTTTGAAAAATCGGGTTTACAAGCCCTAAAAACTGCACCTGAATGTGAAGCAAAATGATAACTCCTGATTTGTCCCGACAGCCGGAGGCTCGTACTTCATGATATCCCGATCACTGGGCCCAGAGTTTGGAGGAGCTGTGGGGATCCTGTTCTACCTGGGAACAACGTTTGCGTCGGCCATGTATATTCTGGGAGCCATTGAAATTCTGCTGGTGAGTTTAATACTGGGACCATGCCTTTTCCAAGTAGTATATGCCATGGCAAAGCCTACTAGTACTACTAGTAGTAGTAGGCAGCTGGAAATGCAAAGAAGGTTCCGGTTTATAGCAAATTAACCTTCTGCTTTGCATCTTCACTTTTCCTACTATAAGTATTTAGTAGAGGGTACTGTTGAGACTAAAAGGAGTCAGTATCATATATTTCAATTACTTAAGTCCACAACAATTTAATTTGTTGGTTCTCGGATTTTTTAGAAAAACTATGAAGCGACAGGGCAAAAAAATACAAATAAAAACAGGTCTAGGCATCCTATTGTAGCCCCAAATGCTACGATAGGAGCCATGAAGTCATCACAAAAGGCTGGGTTAATATAAACTTTTAATCAAACCACTACATTGATAGATGAAAAAACCGTAGCATTTAGGAAGAAAAGGACTTTCCTCAACTCTTGGCATATTTTCTCAAACATGAGCATATTTTAGTTGATTCAGAACCAGAATCTTTTTTTTTTTGCGAATCAGAAAAAAAATTAAGAGGCGAATCCGAGAACCAACAAATTGAATTGGTGTGGCCTAACCATGAGTGATACCAATTGTATGTAATGTGTTTGACATTGTCAATCCATTTTACCTTAACCTTCTCCCTGCTGCCTAACCCTGTAACCAAACGGCTACCTTAGCATACTGAAGGTTAACCTATTGATGTCTTCCTTGGTCTCTTGGAATCAATCCATTTTACCTTAACCTTCTCCATTCTGCCTAACCCTGTAACCAAAAGGTTACCTTAGCATACTGAAGGTTAACCTATTGGTGTCTTCCTTGGTCTGTTGGAGTCAATCCATTTTACCTTAACCTTCTCCTTGCTGTCTAACCCTGTAACCAAATGGCTACCTTAGCATACTGAAGGTTAACCTATTGGTTCCTCTGTTTCCCCCCAGACCTACATAGCACCACAGATGGTTCTGTTTGGCACCATCACCGGTCCGGAGGGTCAGGGCAACCTCTTCAACAACATGCGTGTGTACGGGACGGCCCTGCTGCTCATCATGGGAGCCATCGTGTTTGTAGGGGTCAAGTTTGTCAACAAGTTTGCCACGGTGGCCCTGGCCTGTGTCATCCTGTCCATCCTGGCTATCTTCATCGGATTCTTTGTTACTGCTGGCATTCCCCCCTCACAACCAAAGTGAGTTAACACTGTATAAAGTTAAAACTTTACATCCAACACAAAAAGTTTTCTCACCTAGAGCTTTTGACCAGTTACTCTGGTCTTCCTCAGTAGACTGACCCAGTGAAGCTTGTCACGTGGCTTCTTGTGACGTCAACACTGGGTCAAAGGTATCTGGTAGACGATGTTGGCCCCCGTCGCGGTTCAGTGAACGTTCACCTGACAAGCCTCACTGGGTCAGTCTACTGACTCAGAGGAAGACCAGAGTGACTGGTCAAAAGCTCTAGGTGAGAGAACTTTTTGTGTTGGATCTAAAGTTGTAACTCTAAACATGTAACTACCAACACAGATGAACTTTCATGATATTCTGAAGTGTACATGTACCGGTTGTCTTCAAAAACTTGCATATCAATCAATAGTTCATGCTTACATCGGTAAACCTGCCATTCTCCTGCAATCTCCAGTGTCACTGACGAAAGATAGTGGTTGCCACCTGAAACGTCTGACCGTTTCCAAAATTATATCCAGTTGCTTGTAACTGTTTTTGGCGCATGTACTGGTATTTTCTATGACCTTGTAGATACAAAGAAGAGCATCTATTAATAATTACACATTCAGTCAATTATTTTCACATTCAATTATTCATTGACAAGTTACTCTGTTGAGAGTACCCTTCATACAAAGAAAGGGCCACAAACAGTAAACATTAACATTTCATAATGTACATGTATGATGTCAGTTCTAGCATGTACAGTAGGGCAGCAACAAAGGTTCTCCAGTTCCCTCTGTCCTGGGCTACTCTCTGGATGGTATCCCAAGTGTGGCTGACGCTCTTCAGTTCTTCTGCAACTGTTCTACGTCAAGCAATCTTAATACATGTCTGAGCCTACTACATTTTAGCATTTGTTAAAAAAAACGTTTGTTCCAACTGGACCTGTGCATTAGAAGCCAGGGCTCAAAATTCACATATTAAATGTATAATAGTATACAGGATATACTTGGCATCTAAGGGTCAGAAAAGTAATAAAATCTTTGTTGTAGCACTTGTGTAAGGTTTTGAAGTTAGCTCCCAATTCAGATTCAAGTTAGAAGAGGAGCAGTAAGATCTATAATTAGGTTTTGTTTTATATTTCGCCCCCCCTCCCCCCAATTTTTTTGTGCACCTAATTTTCTAGGTTGGGTGCACCAGTCCAAAAAATGAATTCCAAGCCCTGGAAGCTCATGATCTTGTCTCTGCGTTCCCCAGGATCTGTGTGGTAGGAGAGATCCTGGTAAACCCTCCCGATAAGGACTGTAGCTACATGGGACCCAACAACACCGTTAACGACCTGTGGAAGGTTTACTGCGGGGAGGAGACCAACGCCACCTGTGACCCGTACTACGAGGACAACCACCCGCGGAAGATTCCCGGGATTCCTGGCCTCGGACGCAACAACGAGTTTGTTAGTAAGTATTCAACAGCACAAGGGCAGCTATATTTCACAAAAGTTCTTCACACTGAAAGTTGTAACCTTACTCATCTTTCAGTGTACCACAAAGTGAAGTTGCAAGGAAATGCACATTGTTTTGGCACACTATTGAATATAATTTGATAGCTTCGTATAATTGGATAATGATATTAAAAATACATGTATCAGCGATTTGTCCTATGACCATGTTGATGTCATATTAAAATTCATACTGCTTGTTAGAAATTCAGTGTGTCAGTGGTCAGACTTAAATTCATTTATCAGTTCGGCTTACAACAGCCAGGGTTACCCAACTAGTCATGGACTATTAAGGGTCAACCCTGGGAGAGAATGAAGTTGTACATGATGTATACATATGAATACAATTGATAAGGTACACAATGAAATTTACACTAATATATACAAATGTTGAATCATACAATTATTATTATTATTATAATACAAAATATCAGAGCTACATTACACCATAATTGGATTACTAACATAGGACTTAATTGCAAATACTCAGCCCATTTTCTACTTGTTTCTACCTTGTAGAAAACGGACTGAACAGCTACATGTTGGCGGGAGACGCGGCACCTCGCAGAAAAGGCTTCCCGGACAGGTACGAGATCGTGGCAGACATCACAACGACATTCACCGTCCTACTGGGCATCTTCTTCCCTTCTGTCACAGGTGACTAGTTCCTTCTTAGAAAATAGCTTTTTGTGGGGTAGTTGAAGCTGGTGTATAGCATGTCAGCAGAACGTACTGCACCTGCGCGGAACCTGTAATGTATTGTTCATAGCACTTCAGCAGAACGTCTTATATAAGGTCTTATTCGCGTATATAAGGGTAACATCCCGTCTGTAGTTTCCAAATGTTATGTCAAAAAAGATATCATCTGCAACAGGCAAAATTTTGATGCAACGTTGACCAAAAACCCATCGAAAACTGAAAAATCATGGTTTTGCGCAGGCGCAGTACGTTCTGCCGACATGCTGGCTGGTGTGTTAGGCCAAAGGGCAGTTTTACCGGCTATACAAATACAGATACAGAATATGTTACTTCAGACTAGGAGCAATTGCAATTGAGATGAAAGTATCAGACTGAGTATGGTATTTGTCAGTAGAAGGTAATTATGATAGTGGCTGACAGATATACTATATAGGATTCTAAAATTGTTGCATGATGGCAGAAAGAAATGTTTCCTGATGATTATATTACTGATGATTTCATGTATGCTATATGCAGAGTAATAACATGAGCACTGAGTATTGATAACTTTTTGTTTGTTAGATTGTTTTTTGTTTACCTAATCAGCAAAAAATTAGGTGTTTAAAAAACATTTTGTTTGTGCCCCCCCCCCAGGAATCATGGCAGGTTCCAATCGGTCAGGTGACTTGAAGGACGCCCAGTACTCCATTCCCAGAGGCACCATCGGTGCCATAGCAACCACCTCCACCATCTGTATCCTACATGTACATGTCATTTTGTACAGGTTATTAGGGGAAAGTGCATTACGGGTATTAAGGGTTTACTATGGGTGTTTTCATCACAAGTTATAGTGCAGCGTGTGATTTTTCACACTGAACATTATACACTAGCACAGTTGAATGAATTTCCCCAGGCTTACATAATGTGCATATTTTTCGTAAGATAATTATAGGCACTAAGTTAACCTAAAGAGATGTCTGTATAGAGCTCTTTGGGAAATTTTGGGGTTAAAGTGTAGGCAAATTATTTTGAGGTCTACATTTTCTATGCTGAAACTAGTGTTCAAAATGACCTGAGCAGCACTAAAACTTATCTTGACCATTTCAGTGATTTTGAACATAAGGAAGTGAATTTAAATATCAATGTCCTGCAACTGTTTGGTGCCAGAAAAACAAACAAAAAATGCAATGTATGAAATTAAATTGAAAGTCACTGTGTCTGATGTATACGAACTGGATATATTAATTTGCACCTTGACATAAGCCAACAGATCTGACTTCTGTCCTCATGTATGGGGGCACAGCAGACGGGCGACTGTTGAGAGACAAGTAGGTGAAATTATGCCTTATTGGGAGTTAATTAATCAGGAACAATGTCGCTGATGGACTAGTCATATGCTGCTTTACCCTGTAACCAATAGAGAAGGGCTACTTTGATCCAAGTTTCTAAAAGATCCTCGGTGAGGCCACAGCAAGAGATTTTTGCCTGATTTTGGAAAATAAGACATTTGATTGCCCTTTGACAGTGGTCAACATGCCGAAAATGGGCAAAATGGCATGCCTTGGCATGCTGGAACATGTATGGCAGATAAATATGAGGAGAGGAGACAAGAAAAGGCTCTGATTTATTGTTTTGACTTTACTTTGCTGCAGTGATGTATTTCATTCCTTTCATTTGTTCTCACTGAATCAAAACCGCTTGTACAAAGATTGAAAACTTTCCTTTTTCAAAGTTGTTTCAGTGACAAATGGATGTTGTTATAGTTGGCAGCAAAGTTAGCACAATATAGGTATCGTTTCTTGTTTAACACTATATGATCATGTCAAAATTTGAAAATATACATGTAGGGATTTTTTTTTTGCCTGCCTTGTTTTTTTTTTGCCCCCTCGCATTAGATTTGGAGTCTGCGGAGGATGTCATCCATAAAATTTACTTACCGTGGCCTAATTATGACTAACTCTTCCTCCATCATCTAAAAAGATCTGCTGTCTCTACATACAATATCTACATATATGTGTTTTTTTCCGCCCAACAGATATGGTGACAGTATGGGAAAAGGCATGTTAGCAGCCCAGGTGTGCTGGCCCAATGAATGGGTGGTCCTGATTGGTTCCTTCCTGTCCACTGTGGGGGCGGGGCTTCAGAGTCTGACCGGTGCTCCCCGTCTGCTGCAGGCCATCGCAAAGGTAAAGGCATGGTGTGGACTGGCAGAATCTGAGCAAAAGTATATAAATTCTGCTGATTTGAATTTGGATGTTGTAACACAAGAGAACTCAACTTGTCAACTAGAAAGGCCGACATTTGCTTGGGAGCAAGTACAGCATATTTCACTCCATCTCCCAGTGATGCAAAAGTAGACTGTGGCAGGAGGAGGAGAAACATGAGAGAAAATGATATATTTCATCCATATGGTATGGAATGAAAAATAATTATCATGACTAATCGAGTACTGTAAATCACTTTATATTCACAGTAGCAAATTTTCGTGGTCTGAGAAAAATGCACATGTTTTTTGGAACTATATGCACCATATGTAATGATACTCAATCATGCTTCAGTGTGTACATTTATGTTTCAGGACAACGTGATCCCCTTGCTGGGTATCTTCTCGCGCCAGTCCTCACGAGGAGAGCCCACCTTCGCCTTCTTCCTCACACTCTTCATCTCCGAGGTGGGCATCCTCATCGCCAGTCTGGACGCTGTAGCCCCCATCATCACCATGTAAGCTCCATCTACACAGTCTACATGTACATGACAATCAATCTGAAAACATGCCAACAATTTAGAACCACTCTAAGACTTACTCACTAATGTTCAAACTTAACATCACATCTACAGTTCACAATATACATGACACAGAATCTGGAAATATGCCAATAATTTGCCATAACTGGCTGGTCTATAACATAGACAATGTACCATATTCTGAACTTTCAATAGAATAGCTACATTGATAGATGGGAAAACTGTACAAACTAGTAAGAAAATTACTTTCCTGCTGACTTTGTTGTTGACTGTAGGTTCTTCCTGATGTGCTACCTGTTTGTCAACGTGGCGTCTGCACTGCAGACATTGCTCAAGTCCCCCAACTGGCGACCCAGATTCAAGTTCTATCACTGGTGAGTACGTCTAAATCCCTCCTGCTAAAAAATTGCAACATAATGTAAGCAACACTAGTTACCATGGTAACAGATGTCTGGTTCAGGTCATTGACATTACTTGTTTGGAGAAGAAGAAGAAACTGAGCAAAAACAATATGTTTTCCTTCTGCAAAGGTAAACATAAATAGTTGCCTTAACAGTTAAAGAGTTAAGGAGCTTAGCCAGTCAAGTGTCAGCTTATTCTACAGTGGTCATTCATGTTGAAACTATCGTAAAGTTGTGACACACAAGAATATGTATGACTGCAGTTCCCATAGACTGTGCTAGGAGGTGCTTCTAAGAGGTATTGAATGTTATATGTTTTGCAGGACCCTGTCCATCCTGGGTGCAGGCCTGTGTGTGGCACTGATGTTCATCTCTAGCTGGTACTATGCGCTGGCTGCCATGGTCCTGGCTGGGGGGATCTACAAGTACATAGAGTACAGAGGGTACGGCAACAACTTGGACTTGTCATGTTAGTTTGCTATAGCTGTAAATAAGTTTCTACTACTGTAACAGCAATTCTATGGTTTACGATGAACGAGTAAATAATTAAACTTAACCCATATCTTGCTGGCATTTTTTACACAAAATTTTCAAATAATTTGATGTCTTAATCAGGTTATAGCCTCTTGACTTTTTTGGCCTGCAGTGGCGTACATGTAGTTACTTCTGCGTTCGTTGCATTTGCTGCGGTGTGATATGTTGCACAAAAAATACCCCAAATATACAGGGGGCTATATGGATGGTACTATGTACTGTATCTGCCATATATATGGGCTCTGCAGGACAAGGGTTTTAAAACTTCTGCTTATTTTCAACCTATAGCAATGTCCTGTGCACATTGACAAGTGTATGAGTTGAGTTTTTGTATCCCCCAGGGCTGAGAAGGAATGGGGAGATGGTATCAGAGGTCTGGCCCTGTCTGCTGCTCGTTACAGTCTACTCAGACTGGAGGAGGCACCGCCACATACTAAGAACTGGAGGTAAAGTCAACTAAACCTGTTAATCATTGCAGTATTATTATGACTTGTACAGATTCTTTCCTTTGAAAAGAAAATAAGTAGTCTTTCTTTTTATCCTTGGAAGGCTTTTACTGTCTTTGGCAAACTTATTTAACCTTCTTATTTCTAGGTAATTAGTGTGTAATGATGTGGGTTTTATCAAATAATCTTATTAATGTTAATTTGTTGTGCCATAAATGTTAAAAAAGTAAATTTTACAACAAGACATAATTTAGCCAATGGCTACAAGTTCTTGTTTGTTTTCACAAATAAACCATGATTGATTGATCGATTGATTGACATCTTCAACATCACATTCTGTGAAGTTGCGAGTAAAGCATAGAACTCCAAGACACTGTTGAAGTAACTCAGCAATAGACTATGCTGGAAAAAGAGGATTTAATAACACAGTATGTACTTGTACAAGGGACTAATTCGTTTTAAATCATCACCTTTTGTCCAGACCACAGATCCTGGTTCTGTGCAAACTAGAGGATGACTTGGTGCCAAAACATAAGCAGCTGCTCACCTTTGCAAGCCAGCTCAAAGCAGGTAAGAGACCATCGCAATTCTCTTCCTGTTTTTGCAAAAAAGAACACTGTACATGTAGCACTTAAAATGTTGCTTCAAGTGGATAATGATCAAGATGAAAGCAAAAAGGTATTTTTAGCTGTCTTTTCTACTTACACTTTAACCTACATGATTGTACTGTTTTTCTTTAATCCAAATTGTTAGTTCCTTTCTGGCACACGTCTAAGAACTTAATATACTTTATTTGTATTATAGTGTGTTTCTGTGTACCTGTCCTGTTTTGTTTTGTTTTTTAACCAATAACTAAAAATCGAATACATAATTCAGGGATGCATTAGCATTCCCTGCTTTTGTACGATTTTGTTGGATTGAATAAGTTGAAATTACATACCATGTCTTTACAGGCAAGGGTCTGACCATGGTATCAGCAGTTGTGGAGGGAGAATATGTTGACAACTATGGCACATGGCAAGCAGCAAAGCAGGTATGGAGAACCGTCTTGTTTCCACCCAAATTCTTGAAACACGATGACCAGAAGTAGAAAACATACAGAATTTTTCAGTCGTTGACTCACTGTATGATACATATTAGTAGTAGTTTTCTGAGATTGTCAATGTGAAAAATTATGCATTATGAAGGACACACAACATTCTGTAATCAAACGCCAACTATAGACAGTTAAAACTAAAGATCCAACACAAAAAGTTCTCTCACCTAGAGCTTTCGACCAGTCACTCTGGTCTTCCTCAGTAGACTGACCCAGTGAGGCTTGTCACGTGGCTTCTTTGAAGTGTGACGTCAACACTGGGTCAAAGGTATCTGTTAGACGATGTCGGGCGTTTCAGTGAAGGGTGATGGTTCCTGTTGTATATAGCCTCCTTCACTCCTTTCAAGAAATAGTCTTGTTCAGTGTCCAAATTCCTTACAGTGTCAAGTGAAACAAACTATAGACAATTCTTTGAGCTCTGACATGTTTATTTTCAGTCTCTGAAGAGAGTGATGGAGGAGGAGAAGGTGAAGGGATTCTGTGAAGTCATGGTGACTCCCAATGTTATACAAGGCTTGTGTCACATGTAAGTACCAACATGTACTAGTATCTATATTGGAGTTATAGGATAGAGACTCTTTGAGTATAGATTTTGAGAGACCTTTAGGCCTTTCACTATCACATTGCCACCATTATGATGTGCTGTAGCAATTTATTGTGAAAATGGAATGTTGAAATATGGTGTCCTCTTGGGTTTGATTTTCATTGAAGTTCCTATTCTGTGCCATTGTAGGATCCAGACTGCAGGTTTGGGTGGTTTGAACCACAACACAGTTGTGCTGGGCTGGCCACACGGGTGGAGACATGCCACAGATCCCAAGGCTTGGAGGGTCTTCATCGGTCAGTACACTAGTCACCTAACAACACACTAGAAGGAATCTCGTTTATTATCTCACTTTTCACTCCATACTATTGTATGAAATATTGTTTTTCCTCATGTTTCTTCTTCTCCTTCTATTCCTTCTCCTCCTTCTGCCATTTCTTGAAATTGATTCAACTCCTTCATTTTCAAAGTGAAAATTGAGATTCAAAGTTTTTGTCCTTGTGTCCTTGCTCTCAATTAGATAATTGCAGTATGATTTATTTGGAATCTTCAATTTTTGGTTGGGGAGGGAGATGGAGTGAAATATTCAACATATGCTGCAAAGCAAATGTCGGCCTTTCTAGTTTTGTGATGAATTTCAGCTACTGTGTCAATGTATCCCCTTTGATATGATTTTGATGACAGCTAGTATACCTACATGTAACTCTTTATTTGCATTGATGTTGCCTTTAGTTTTAAACCTTTTTGGTTTTTCAACCTGTTGGATGGATATCAATAATGTCTGTAGAAACATTTGCCTCTGTTATCCAGCAGTTTTCTAATGGTCTACTCCTGTTTTCACACAGAAACTGTGAGGAACGTGTCTGCGGGACATCAGGCCCTGCTGGTGCCAAAGGGGATTCAGCTGTTCCCTGACAACAACGAGAAGTACACAGGCACCATCGACGTCTGGTGGATTGTCCGTATCCTTATTACCTGCATACATGTACCTGTAGTTGCCATGTCTACAGTACAATGTCCTCTAAAATGCCCAAACTTAACAATTGATTTGATAGATTTGGCAGGTTTGCTTTCAGCCCCTAAGATTTCACTGCAGCCAGTTTACAAAATACTGTCTGGAGTTTGGATTTCTTTAAATATTCTCCTGAGGACAGAAGCAGTAACTCAGTAACTACTAGCCTTCTAAAAAGACATTCTCACACTAAAGGTACAATCTCACACTAAAGGTTGTGTATTGTCTTGTCAGGGCAGGCCCTTTGTAATAGCCATCGGCTGTATGTCCTTCAAAGCCAAACCACATGAGACCTGCAGTGGGGTCGTGTGGCGTAATGGCAGGGTGGTTGGTCCAGAACCCAGAGGTCCTTGGTTTGAATGCTATTTACATAAAACCTTTAGAGCTGTATCTCCTATTGTGATACCCTTGACCCATCTGTACAGATGACGGAGGCATGCTGATGTTACTCCCCTTCCTCCTCAAGCAACACAAAGTCTGGAAGAACTGCAGGATGAGGATCTTCACTGTCGCTCGTGAGACATCCTCCTTTTCTTCACATCTCAAGAAAATTTCCTGAATTTTCAAACTTCCCTTTTAGGTTTGTGCCCAAGAAACAGTAGGTCTTTGTTTAGTGATCCATTTCACTGTGGGCAGTTCAAAGTCAATCTGTGTCAAGAATGGATGGCAAAATGTTGTTGTTTTTTCTGCTGGCTTGTAGAGCTGGAAGATAACAGTATCCAGATGAAGAAGGACCTGGAGCACTTCCTGTACCACCTGCGTATCGAGGCAGACGTACAGGTCGTGGAAATGGTAAGAGAAACAGCTTCGGGTGGCGTAGTGGTAGAGCCTTTGACTATGAAACAGCGAGACCCGGGTTCAATCCCAAGTTGTACCCAGGACATGTCTGGACATGCGCTGACATTGTGCCCTTGGGACTTTACACGACTTTCCTCACTCCAACCAGGTGTGAATGGGTACCTAACTTCGGTTAGGGTTTGTATTGAGGTCACCTGGTGGCAACGAATGGCAGCCGCACGGACCCTTGTGACAGTTTCACAAAAGTGTGTGGAGCAAATATGTCATGTGTATTTATGTGATTGTAAACCCTGCATCAATTCAGCACTATAAAAGGCTGCGATTGCACGGCTAATGTTTGACCAATAAACTGCAATTTACAGATACTGAATTGAGAAGATGTTGCTTTTCAGTGCTATGTTACCTCACCACACTTTTTCTGAGTCATGACTGTAGGTTCTTTCTTCCTCCAGATGACCAGTGACATCTCAGCCTACACGTATGAACGTACGCTGATGATGGAGCAGCGCAACCAGATGCTGAAGCAGATGCACCTCAGCAAGAGGGAGAGCAGAAAAGAGGTTAGTTTAGAACTAAGGATCCTGCTGTACTCCTCAAATTAACAGTTAAGGCCACTTCAATTTAATTTGTTGGTTCTCAGATTTTTTTAGATTAAAAATGTGAAGAAACAAGGGCAAAAAAAATAAACTAAAATACGTGTGTAGGCATCTTATCATAGCCCCAAATGCTACGATAGGAGCTATGAAGTCAACACAAAAGGCTGGGCTGATATTTAAACCATGAATTTTAATCAAACCATTGCATTGATCGATGGAAAAACTGTAACAATTAGGAAGAAAAGGACTTTTCTCAACTGTTGGGGGCAAAATATGATCATATTTGAGTTGATTCAGAACCAGAATTTTTTTTATTTTTTTGCAAATCAGGAAAAAGTGAAGAGGCAAATCCGAAAATCAACAAATTAAATTGGTTTGGCCTAAAGTGGAACAAACCTCGACATGGTTGTTCAGAATCTTTTTTAAAAGAAAATTTCTACGAGTTAAAAGAAGGCATAATTTCCAAAGGGTACTATGTATAGGTCCCTTCACATTCATTAGACCTCTGCCCTGAATATTGTGTTTATATTTTTAACTGAAACAAATTCATTATGACTTATAGAAAATTAATGGATTGACTTAGTTACAAAAGGGAGTACATGTACTTTCACATCTTGTTATGCCAACTTCTTTTGAATGTTGAGTATCTCTCATGTGTGTACTACAATGTATGGTTTACCTGGAGACACATGTATATATTACAATGTACTAATTCTTCCCTCTTGTAGCCTTTGAGAACTTTACTACTGTGAGCACCTTCCTCTCTGCTCTCACCAACCTTTTCTGAGACATTCACAGCACTACTGAACTCCTACCTTCTCTCTTCCCTCTTCCAGTGAGAACTTGCTCAGTTTCACCTCACTTTCTCCTGACAAGCTGTAGTCTTGAACTCATGTCTGTATGTGGTACGTTCTTCTGTCTGTCCCCTTCTGAATCATTTTCTCAACATCCTTGAGTGTTGACTAACCCATTATTGTATGTGAGCTTGTTCATAGTTACATTGTCATTTGAATGTGTTGTATTAAACTGCATGATGTTATGAAGTGGCCTTTTTTTTACTATAATTATATTCTATCCATAAAACAGCATGGATTTTCATTAGATGGTAATGTTTCTTATGTATAAATGTATCCCTGTCCTTTTCATGTTTTCAATGGTTATGTTTCTCATCTGTTTTGTCCCCCTTGCAAAATGATAGAAACAACTGCCAACTGCCCATTTTTCAGATCCAATCCCTGACAGATATGCACAGGTCGAAGGCTCCTAGCACTGCCGTCAGTGACAGTACCATCTCAGAGGTGGACGAGGAGGAGGTATTGGCCTTGAACTAGCTCCCTCTCTCTCTCCTACTCAATCTCTCTCAGACTGTCATTTGTTACCACTAACACTTTTCTATTTGTGCTACAGAACAGTGGCTTTGTAACAGTTGTAGTGTCTTGTCAGAAAACTGGTCAGTGCTCTCAAATCAGTAGTGAAACTGACAGTCACACTACGATGCATGTACTTCAAATACGTACAGTAAATTTTTTTTTAGGCCTATTTGGTGTAGAAGAAAGAGCTTCTTGCTGTGGCTTAATTTGATGATATTGAATATCTCACAAAAGTCAGTTACATTCATTCTCAGAATTCTAGCAATACTTTAGACTAGTAGAATTGAGGCACTGACCAGCAGTTTGGTATATTTGTGGGCATTTTGAGTGCTGTTTGGAGATATTTGCATTTTTAACATCTTTATGATTGTGCCTCTGGCACAAAGCTCAGCTATATTTGGTGTTCTATAAGAGTGCAAATATCTGCCTCTGCCATGTAACATGTCTTATACTATTATAGTAACATGCAGAGTTACAATAGCCTAGCCATGTATCTCTGTGAGCATCTAACACTTGTAGTGTCGGTTGCATGTAGTGGTGTTTTATGATAAACTACTGACTCTGACCTTTTTCATCCTGTTCAACTAACAATACCATTTACTATCTTTCTAACAGTGTTTGTTTGTGCATGCAATTTTAACAACAGTATTCTGATAAGTTGTTTCTCTCTTTATTTACTTCACGTTTGTACTTTGGTTTTTTGTTTGTTTGTTTGTTTGTTTGTATGTTTTTTTACTTAGTCATCTTAAAAACAACCTTTTTATAAAGTTGTGATCTGTTTGCAGGTGTGAACTTGTAGTTAAAAGTGTTTGCATATTGTTTTAGTTTTCATATTTTACTGTTTATGTTGAGTTATCGTAAGGATGAATGAAATATTCTTGACTGGGTCTAATGGATGAAACATTGAACATGTGTTGGTGCATATGATGCTGTCAAGTTAGCTTAAAACTAAGTGCATACAAGGGCAAGCAAGGAAATGTCCTTTAAGTGTGACAGTCACAATGTTGTATTTCAACACAACAATGCACCTCTGCTTTCTGCTAAGAGACTTTTTTATTACATTGATTATTTGATTAGATATTTTTAACAATAGTTTTATTAATTATTTTCCATCCCCACATCCCTACAACACTTTGCAGCCTTTTGCCAGCGGGAAGACTGCCAAGGCCAAAGGCGACTATGGTTCCCTCGATGAAAAGGTATCAAAAACGGACCCCTGGAGCCCGGAGGTAGCCAAGTTTAAACACATCACACATGTGGTGGTGGATCACTAACGTAGAGGTGTCAGAATGGCCAAGAGAGCGAAGGAACATCAGTCAAAACTCTCACATGCAAAGGACTTTAAATTATTATATTTACCAAAGGAAAAAATATGGTTTTTGCTCTGTTTCTTGTTCCGTTCCAAACAGTGACCTGGTCAATGACTTGAACCAGACCATCTGTCACCATGGTAACTGGTATTGGGTTACATCATGTTGCAATTTTATAGTAGGAGGGATTTAGACTCCTGTCACCATATTCAAGGTTTTGTTTCTTTACACACTACTTAAAATACGGATACTCGAAGATGGAAATTAGAAAATAAGACCCCCTCAAAAAAATGGCTACACATTTTTTAATGCAACTTTAGCTTCTGCTGGAAAACTGCAACAATTCAGCGTGGCTGTTGTTGTTGCATTTTCAATCAATTTTTAGTAGCTACATTTTTATAGCTACAATATCAGTAGCTACATTTTTAGTAGCTACATTTTTATAGCTACATATCAGTAGCTACATTTTTGGTAGCTACATTTTTGTCCACGTCTGTCACCTGTTTTGCAAAGTTGTGCTGTTTCCCAGTACGTCCCTTAGAGTAGAACAGAATCCAAGCCTTGATGTGGACCCAGTAGTTCTAACATATTTAGTGGTTTTTAAGGTGGAAGAGGTAGCAGGTCAGAAAGGGTTGCTGTGGTACATGTAGCTTGCATGGGCAAGGATAGTAAATACTAGATGTTCAGTAGAAGCATGACTATACTGTAGTATAGTAATGGTGTAGACCCTGTTTTCATGCATGCTGTGGTTTTGCTGTTTCTGTATATTTTGTGATAACTAGTGTGTGAGTTTACAGTACCATAACAGATATCTGCCTTTGTCAAGTTGTGTGTTACTGCTTACATTTGTATGCCCTCACCAGGAATACACACCCATACTTGCCTTCACAGCTTCTAATCACACAAATCTCTCACAGCTCTTTCCCTTCCCAGGTTTTCATCACCTTGGCTGTTTGCTCTCAAACATTCTATCATGATATACTAGTAGTAACCACAACTACATCCTCTGCACTTATTTAACTACATTACACAGAATCATTATGTACCCCATCAAACCACAGGAGTTCACACCAACATGGCTGCAAGACTGACTAACCGTCGCACAGTTTTGGTAGTTTTTTTTAAATCCATGCACAGCAGCGTTAGTTCTTACATGCACAATGTAATATATGTATGTGTATAGAACTATGCACATGTGTAACTGCAGATACATGTACCAATCCTTAGATTCTTGCGTGTCACATGGGCATCTTGTGATGTCCTTCTATGGTGTGTCTACAAGTACAACCCTACATGTAGATTGTAGATCCTGTAGCCCTACAAACTTGAACAATCATCACCCATGAAACATCTGTGTCCTGTTATTTCAACCCACCTCAACTGACTCTCACCACTTCACGTTACAGATCAAGGCAAAGCACATCTCATAGAAATGCATGACTCGTAGTCGAAGGCACTTTTGGCGAAACTGTTTAAATCCGTGCTGATGTTGGGTTGTCCTGGTTTGACAGGTTCAGAACGTGGTAGACATCCATCACAAAGCGCGGGACAGCAAAGCAGAGGAGTCATCCCCGGACGATGTACTCCTTGAAGGAGCCTCGCCCACCGAGGAGGAGGCGGCTGAGCCAAAGAAGAAGACGAAGAAGACCTTACCACCCAAGGGTGACTTTGGCAACCTACTGGACATTAAACCGTGAGTGACATGCCCTGCCTTTGCCTACTGTACACTGGTGTTAGGTGTTTGGGTTTACTTTCATCAGCTCTGGCATACAGCAACATAAACAGCTAAAAGGTTAGCCAAGCAAGACAGCCAACAATAACACACAGTCAGGGTTCGAAATACTGGGTGCATGTGCACCTTAGTGCACCCAAATTTGGAGCTGTACAACCTTTTTTTTTCTGGCACCCAAAAATTTGTGTAGGTTTACGTTTACATGTAAAGATTTTAAATAGTCGTATACAGCATATTTTTAACATCTAAGTGCTAGAAAAATAATGAAATTGCTATTATAGTACTTGTCTTTAGAAAGGAAACGTAATTAGTTTTTGTTGACATTCTACCTAATATTTTATTTCATTTGGTGCACCCAAAAATTTTTTGTGCACCCAATTTTTTAGGTTGGGTGCTCCAGTGCTCCCAGTATTCTCAAAACTGAATTTTGAGCCCTGTACATTCAATCTTGAAACAGAGATTTGTGCTGACAAAAGACAGGTAGTTGTCTGATCTTCCTGAACATTTAACTTAACTTTTTTCAACAGGCTCACTGTCTGTTCATACTTTTGTTTCTTTGTCTTTCTTCTTTTGTTCCTGTCAAGTTCTAGTGCCATTTCTTTCTTTCCTTACTGCATTATATAGACCACCACTAATGTTCTGTAAACCTTACATAGTAGCCGCATTATACCAAACTTGAGCAGAGCTAGGTGAATGTTGGGACTAATGTTGTGGCTATGTTTTCCTTGTACTAGATGTTTGATTTATTCTCCTGTCTGTTCTTCTCTACCTTGTCTTTCACTCTGTCACTCCAACCAAGGGACGGCAGCCTTGGTGTGCCGTAAGTGCTATCATTCCCTCCTTACAATGGATGGATGAATGAAGCTTGCTATGCTTCTGAAGCGATAGAAAAAAATATTATTTTGGGCTGAAATTTCCATTTTGAGGTCTTGTTATTATTGGCATTGTCATAAAAGTTTTAATCAAAAGCATATCCAAAGGGTAAGTTTGTTTATGAATTTGTTAATATGCATTTTTCCCCACAGAGGTTCCTTATTGCTGCGTAAAGATTGGTGCAAAAGATGCTGCATTACTACTATCATTTAGTATGCAGAAGTTTGGCACAGGCAATAAATCTGCTGCTATTGCATTTGCAAAGAAGTGATGGCTGCTAGTCCAGACATCCTATAGACCAGTTTACCTCTCAGGGATCACAAAAACTACTTACGTCACAGGGGGGACATTTCGAATAGAATGTCATTCTAGAACCCGGAAGTTGAACGTGGCTTTAGCTTACGGTGTCCCCCCTGACAGATCACTGCGATGGTCTGCTCTCAGATAACAGAATCACCTATCCGGTGAGATTGGGTGGAAGGAAACGGGACAGCCATCCTTCAGCAAAGTATCGATAATCTTTATACTCCTTCTACCGGCACAGGTCAGGAACTTTCAGAAATTAAAGTTACCCACGTCGGGAAATCTGCCAGGGGGGACAACGCAAACGAAAGTCGGCTCTAGAATAATGTTCAATTTGAAATGTCCCCCCTGTGACGTAAGCAGTTCATGCGATCACTGAAAGGTAAACTGGTCTATTGTATGCATCGAATGCACCTAATCAGTGATGATATATTTGTGCTTGTTGTGTTGCAGAGATGAGCGTAACGTCCGGCGGATGCACACAGCGGTGAAGCTGAATGAGGTGATCGTACAGAAGTCCCACGGAGCCAAGCTGGTCCTCATTAACCTGCCAGGACCGCCCAAGATGAAGGCTGGCGATGAGAACTGTATCCTTTTATAACATAGAATAGATAGATCCATGTTCAAAGTAAACATAATACCTGCATAGCAAGGACTAAGTTGTGATAAGAGTGAAGTGGCACCTGTAAATGGAAGAGTTACTTCTTCATATTATTTTTTTTAGTGAACTTGTACCCTGAGAAAAAAAGTATTTCCTTTAATTTCTCTGTACGCTTGTATGATTGTATACATGTAATTTGTGATTACAATGTAGATTGTATATGTTTGCCAAAGGAAAACATAATGTTTTTGCTCTGTTTCCTCTTCCTCTTCTTCTCCAAACCAATAAGGTCAATGACCTGAACCAGATGTCTGTCACCATGGTAACTGGTGTTGGGTTACATCATGTCGCAATTTTAAAGCAAGAGGGATTGAGACTCCTGTCTGACCATATACTTTTTAGTATATGGATGTGTTTGAGTAAGGATTAACATAGCAGACTGTGTAGCAGAATGTTATCTTTCTAGTTATATTATTGGTTTAGAACTCCCTTTCTCCAATACTAGGATGCAGGTTGTCCTTAACCCACTTGTGTCAGACATGGAATTCTTGGAGGTTCTAACAGAGGGACTGGAACGTGTACTGATGGTACGGGGAGGCGGTCGGGAGGTCATCACCATCTACTCATAAACTACAACATCCCGACCACCCCTGTTCTAAAATGGTAGTGGACCACTCCACAACAGATGACCCACCCAACTTCAGACTAGTCCACTTGAGAATGGGTTACTTGTTAGATGAATACTACAAGTATGCGTTACGGAATGTATTTTAGAGAATGCTTTATTAAGAGTTGGATGTGCATTGAATCACAGTTTCTTGTTGTGCCCTTAGATTTTGCTGTACTTCAAAAAGATCGGCAGTCAGTATAGCACAAGGAGGGTTTGGTGTATGTTAATATGATGTCTGGTTTGTACTTAAAGAGAGTTTGGAGTAGGGGCTAGCTGCTGTACATGTATCTGTACCTCACAAGTTGAAGTCACTACTGTCTACAAGTACAATCAAGCAATGCAGTTTTACCTCTTACTACCTATTGTTGGATGTGGCATTCTCGTATTACCCTGCTGTTAGTAATGCATTCAGCTTGTAACAAACATATGTACAGTGCTCGTTTAAAATCTTTCAGCTACATATACTGTGCAAATTTTATTTCAGTGGCAATCAATGAATTGCATGAATCCATGTCCTTTAATCTCACTTACACAAGGAGAAACCATTAAAAACCAAGAGACCTACAAGTGAAAGCTAGGAAACAAACTCATTTTTTATATATATTCCTCTGACTTGCACTGAAGTGGTCTTGTACTATTTGTTCCCTGTCATGTTGGTTTGGACTGAAGTACTGTTACAGTAGCTGCTATATAGTGCTGAAAGTAGAAAGCACAAAGTTGTACATAGGAACATTTTGTATATTTGTTGTTATTGATTAGCTGAGAATAGAGAAAAGTTTATGGGTGATCTGCTTGTTTGTGCTCATTCGTGCCATAACAGAAGGATTCCAGTTGCAGTTACTGAGTTGTGGTTACATTTCGGGACAGGAAAAAAACGGAACAGTATCGTCACAGGAGGAATGTACATGTTTGAATGTTCATACAGCATGATTTGACATGACAAAAAATGATTGTTTAATGTCAGATTCCTTCATGGGAAAAGCCAAGCAAAAGGCGGCTCTACTTTCTGCTTTTCACACTGACGTCTACACGTAGTTTACATTGGATTATAGAAATTAGTATGTATAGTTCTACAAGCTTCTCAAAACTGTTTGAGATCTGCCTATACATAGTTTAGACATAGGTCCTAGGACACTTCAAAATGTTCTTACGTTGGGGGCCTACGAGTTGGTAGAAATTTTATTTTTACATTCACTTAGCACAGGACAATACTTAGAAGCTCTATAGGCGTGTATATGACGACTGTGATGTTTTTTACTTGCCTAGTTTTGTGAAGCCTAGTGGGGAAAATGTTGCAGTTTTATTACATGTACACAAATGTATTCGGGTATTTGTGTGTTAGCATTATTTGGTCTACTGATATAAGGAGTATACACTGTACTCTACACAAGAAGCCTCGTAGAACAACGGTATTGTCATTGTACACAAACTACAATTATACTTGTGGAAATGTTATGGATTTCTCAAAACTGAGTGATTGGTTTTAAACATCTGCTGGCATAAGCCACACCGTCAAAGTTTGAGATTGGGCAGAGGGAGTATGTATACATGTAATGAACTTGAGAGAGCTATATGTAGGCAAGGTTGACCTCTCATATTTCCATACTTCTCTTGTATGATAAAGCAAGCAATGATTATTATGAAACAAGTTTGAACTGCAATTGCCAACACAGTATAGTTGGACTCACCCAAATTTTCGACTGTACGACTCCAGTCTTTGTCAAGGAATGAGCAATCCACCGCTTTCGGAACGTCACGCAGATAACACACGTGACTCAGTGAGCAGTGGATCATAGGTTGCAGAAAGTCTGTGGCCTTGTGCAACCTATGATCCACTGCTCATGGAGCCAAGGAAGCGGTGGATTCCTTGACAAAGACGAGTTGTACAGTCGAAAATTTGGGTGAGTCCAAATTTATTGTGTTGGCAATTGCAGTACAAACTTGTTTCATAATGACTTCAATCAACACAGCTGAACTTTCAAGATAAGGCCACACCAATTTAATTTGTTGGTTTCGCCTCTTCGTTTTTTTCTGATTTGCAAAAAAAAAATTGATTCTGGTCCTGAATCAACTGAAAAATGCTCATGTTTTGCCCCAACAGTTGAGGAAAGTCCTATTCTTCCTAGTTGTTACAGTTTTCCCATCTATCATTGCAGTGGTTTAATTAAAAGTTCAAAATTCAATGTTTAAATTTTAACCCAGCCTTTTGTGTTGACTTCATGGCTCATTCCATAGCATTTAAGCCTATAATAGGATGCCTAGACCTATTTTTTTTTTTTCGCCCTGTCGCTTCATATTTTTTCTGAAAAAATCCAAGAACCAACAAATTAAATTGGTGTGGCCTAAGCTATGATTATAGCAATCCTCCAACAGACAATACTGAGCTATGAGTTTGGAAGGTCTGTATGAAAACTCTACATACCAAAGACAGTTGGTTTCGAACAATTTTTCTCTACCCATTCTACATAGTAGGTGTGTTGCTATATTTGTTCCTATGTACTAGCAGTTAGTTCCTATCTGAGTTGTGCAAATGCATTTAAAACTTAGCAACTGCTTGTAATAAAAAATATTGTAATAAGAATAATTATGCAATTTTATGAATTGTAGTGTATAGCTTTTGTCCAATAAAAATTAGATTCTGAGACTGTTCAGTTTTCAAGATGAGTGTATTATGCAGGCCAGTATTTTGTATACTGTTTAGAGTTTTTTATATTTTATTGAACTCTCAGTACTTTTATGTAGGCATTGTTATGTAAACCAGAAAATCTTTGTGTTAAACTTACTTCAAGGTAGAAACATCTGCCAGGAACATATGAATGTAAAGTCGTAGCTCAGTGTTGTATGGTACTTACTTTTTAAGTTTAATGTTACACACCAAATGAAAGAGAAACACTTTACTCTTACAAACAGAAAATTATGAACAATATTTATGATATTTCAGTTTAAACTGCTGCTTAGGAAAGAAACATATTAGCCCAAAATGTAACAAATCAATGCGTATTTAATGCTTACCACCAGCTATTTTTGCTGAAGCAAAGGCCAATACATGTAGTAAGTCATTTTAATGCATGTGTGTTTATATGACTGTCAGAGTTACATTGTATTTCTGAAGTTTTCATGAATGAATTGTGTTTTTATCTGTTAGGATTCCACAGCTTTTTTACATCACATGTACATTTATTTCCTCATATTTGGAAGACTTTTTTTCTTCATTTTTCAAATGTAGTTCTGTAACAAAGTGTACATTATTGCTTGAAATTGCTGCAGTTTTCCAATGAAAATGTGATATTGTTGATGTACATTCCTGTCAAAGGTTACCCACCATTTGACTCTGCTGATGTGAATGACAAGTTTGATATTGAGCTGCTACTGTCTGAACTGCGAAAACAGAAGGAGATTACACCCAACTCCAAGAAGGAAGACTTCGTCCTGAAAGCTTCTTAATCGTTATGGAAAGAAAAGACAATCTTTGACTTAGACTGAGTATTGAATAACCTTTTTAACAGGAGGTACTTTCCCACTGTTTTTGCAGTTCTGGGGATAGAGAAGATGGGAAAGGGAGTGATTTAAGTGCAGTGCGAGTTTGGGTGAATGCAATATTAAAAGCAGTTGCTCAACATTGATGTGTTTCCCTGAGATGTAATTGTTTTAGCCTGATTAAATCGCTTTACGGTTGCCAGCCACCACCACCCACCACCACCCCCCGAAAAGGGGAGGGGCCACTAAAGCCCTGGACGGCAGAGTTTGCCTTACACAGACTATAATTATTTTGACTTGCAAGTGAGCCGGAAAGTGCACAGTTACCACGTAATACGTATTGTTGCATCAACAGAAGTACGGAAATGAGACGTTATAAATATAATAGACCGATCCAATAGCTCCGCCCACCTCCGTCAAAACCTAGGAATCCAAATATATGACGGACCTGCAACCGCTCTCTCATTGGTTGAGCCACTAATTGCCATTCTATCATTGGTTGAACTGCTAATATTGTGATGGACAGTCAGGATCAGTCTATTCCTTTCGTAAACCAACAAAAGTAGACCTGACCTATGCATATCTTGATAGGTAAGGCCACAGCAAGTAAATTTATGGATGACATCCTCAGCAGACTCCAAATCTTAAAAAAAACAAGGCGGGCTAAAAAAACAAGATTCCTACATTTTCAAATTCTTTATTTCCATACCAACATTGCAGACATACAACATGGAATTATAATGTTGCCTGAATGGCATTGGCATGGCATTTTACATCATAAACCGTGTTAAGCAAGAAATTATACCTAATATTGTGATAGCCTGGCCTGTTAGCCACCCGGGTTTTTCCGTAAACCCTGTTGTTACTTTTTCTTAATCCTCAGAAAATGTGACTTGATGAAATAAAGATCTTGTTGTCGATATACAGGCATCAATGTACTATATACTGTATATATTTTACTAAAATACATCAATCCCTCGCTTTTCCATGGGTATACTGTTGTGTCAAATAAAGCGTCTAGTACAGTATTGCGGCCACAACTGCAATACTTAATACATGGAACTGATGGTGAGTTCAGCACCAAGGAGAGGTCCACACTGGTAATTTACATTAACAAATGGAGGGGGGCACCACAAGTTAGGGTTATAAACACTTGCTGTGGCAGAAGGTATCGTGATCGTTGGGTTTGGCACAGCAACCAAGCAAGTCCAAAATTGGGTGACATGAATAATCATGTTTGATTGGTGGCGGAATGGTTATAGTTAATTATCAAAAGCAATATTGATTCTCGTTGTCACCCCTATGCAATTATCACACATGGTACGGTCCGTTCGACCAGCTGCAAGCAGCAAGTTGTGACCACGCTTTCGTGCAGCGTGTTGTGCGTGAATTCTCTCCAACTTTTGGGGTAAATTTTCGGCTTTTTGTCCGCAAATTATGAGTCTCAAGTGTACAGTATATCGTCTGGGCGTTTCCAGGTCGAATGTGTACCGTTCTTTGGATGTTTGAGGGAGAAAACCTGGCGCTGGCGGGCGGAGTTTGGAGACTGGCTGAAAACGAAAATGGCGACTACCATGGCGGCGGCGTGGTGCTGAAAAAGACTCCTTGCAAGGTAAGACAACATATTAGCTCCCCGAATGTGCATGTTTGTACTTCCAACAAACCTGAAGGAACAGACCACGTTATAATTCGTAACATGTTAACCGTTATACCGTAGAAATTTGCGTTTTGTGCAACGAATCGATATTTCGCACACAAATATTGTGGGCCATTTTGTACTTGAATATTTCTAATCAGGGAGGTTGTTCTCTTGACTATTGTGGTTTTGGGGAACACTGAATATATTGTATTTTTCCGTGTTGGTTGGCATTGAAAAAAGCTAGGAGCTAAAACTGTCACGAACACGTTTTTGTTGTTGGAATTTTCCATAGTTTGGCCCAGTGAACACCTTTTGGAACGTACCGCACGTGTGCATAATTAAACCCACTCAACGTTCCCGCCAAAAAAGTCGCGTAAACAAGACTTCCCAAGGCTATAATTAACTAGTTGCATATATTATTTACTTCTGAGCACCCAGAATTAAATCTGTGCACAAGTGAAAATACAATAATCAAGTACATTGTAGTTTAATTTCGGTTTTGTTGCTGGTTTATCCTTGCTTTTGAATCAGAGGTTGTCACATTGGTATTAAATTTTGCTACTAGCTCCAAATGACAGTGAGGTTAATCTACTAACGTTAGTGAAATGAGATTTAGATAAAGTTTGAACAATTTTTTCTGCAGAGGAGTGGAATCTCTTTGGATAGGGTTTGGATTTTGGTCTGTTGCGATTTTCGTAACAACGTTGATATATTGAGTTTGATTTTGATTTTGAATGAACAAAAACAGATAGCATGCAGTGGTCTGAAAAAATGGTCAATGGATGAACTTGAAATAATCTAACATGTTGAAGTAAAGATTGGCTGGATAAGATATAATCTACAGTACTGTACTACTGCCGTTAGGCTGATGACAGGTGTAGTTACCCTGTAAGTCCCTCACTACTCTGCCGTTTAGGATCCTAAGGTCAGCTTGAATTGAAACTACACATTGTACCTTGCATAAGGTTAGAAAATAACTCGGGTAGTTTAAATGAAGGTTCGATGAAAATACAATTGTAGTGTTGTCACATACAGAACTTGTGTCTAGTGACGCTATCTACTAGGATGAGAAAATAACAGGAAAAACATGCACGTAACGTTACATAGAAAAAATGAAACTACCTTTACATAAGGTTAAAAAGTAACTCGGCTGATTAAAATGAGGGTTCGATAAAAATACAATCATAGTGTTGTCACATTACATACTGAAGTGGAAACTGATGAAGCAAAGTTCAGACTGTT